TGGTAAGCAAATGCTGTATTCTATTGGATCACATGCTATCTCTGCTAACAAGTCTTGTTGGTCTTTTTTTTTTATTTCTTGTATCTCTTTTCTAATATTTTTAATTTCATCTCTCATGATGCTTTCTATTGGTGCTTCTTTGTCTTTTTTACCTTTTTTCCCTTTAATTCTTATTCTTTGTCCTTTTCTTTAAGCCACTTATATAAACTTGCATCTGAGTTTGAAATTACTATAATTTCTGTTTGTTTGTCTTCTTTTCTCTCACTTTTGATTTGTTGTATTGGTTCTTCTGCACTTCTTCTATCTTTTTTTGTGTTCTTCTTCTTGTCTTCTTTTTTCAATTCTTCTATTTGTATATTTTCTTCTTCTTTTATTTTCATAATTTCTTTATTTTATTAATTCTTTTTTTGATTTCTTCTTTACTTATTTTGGTCATATATTCAATTAACTTTGAGTTTTAGCTTACCAATTTGACCTTAATTGCTCACTTTTCTATTTGGCCTTCTTCTATTCTTCTCATTTAGCTTCATTTAATATTATACAGAATCTTTATATGTAATTAATTCTAAGTTTGTGATCTTGTCTATATCTTTTATCATTAAACTTCTTGTTATATATTTTATATCATTTGGTGCACTGACTGAAACTTCCTTAGTGAGTTTTTCTAATTTATATTCATCATGTATTTTGATGCTGCTGTATATCTGCTTTCTATAAAGTTGTAAAAGATTATTTTTGCTATACTGTAATATCTATTAATTTTGTTAATAATCTATCTTTGCTTATATTGTCTGATAATCTAATCTAATTTTCTAGAAAATTCTATTGACAATTTTATTTGTTCTTTATATATAACTTTGTTGTTGTTTTGTTTTACATATGTACTTTTATTTTGTTTTTTTGGCCTATTTTAGATGTGTTTGTTTGTTTATATATTTGTGTGACTATTAATAATTTGTGTTCAGGGTTAGACTGAAATCCTCTTTTTTCCAAAATTTTTTTACAAAATTTTGGTTTTCTTAGATAGTTGTTTTGTACAAGTTTCTTTTTGCTTCTTTCTAAGCTCACTACCTGTTAATTTTATTGCTCTTTCTGTTTTGTTAGAGTTACTTGCAATATTTTTTATAGCTTTTGCTAAGTTTTTGTCTATTTTTGTGTCTGAGTAATTGTTGGGGAAAGTTGATTGATTTTTTGATAAACATATTAATAGGTGTTTTAGGAATTATGAAATAGCTGTAACTAAATAAGAAAATTTTATAAAAGCTAAGTAGATAAAATATAGTATTTATAATTTTAATAACTTGATATTACTATAGTTCACAAATCGATATAAATTTTTTTTTTGCTATTATCACAATTCTGAAACACCTAATAAAAATTATCTAAAAGATTTTTCAGTCAATCCAATTAAGTTATTATCTTAGTATAATAGATTTAATAAATTACTAAATTGTATATATACATATATCTATATACTGTATATATGTAACTTTATATTAAATCATATTGATTATTGTATCAGCATTATAAATGTTTTGCCAGTATTACAAAACTTTATAAGCAAGCTCTACAAAAGTTTTGGACAATATTATTTACAAAATTATAATAATTTTTTAACTTTATATAAAAAAAATATTACATATTGTATAATACTTTGTTCTACAGATAATTTTATTATTATAAATTTTGACATGCTCAATATTATAAATTTTTGGTTGATAGGTTTAGGTTGCAGATAACTTCTATAACTCTTAAGTTAACAAGTGCTCTGTCTGAGTCTTTAGTTTTAGTATTTTATAGATAAGAGAGTGGAGGGTATTATAGTATATCTAAGCTGCGCCACTAATTAAATTTTTATAAATTAATATTTAGGCTATACAAATTTAATATATTAGTTTTTATAACATGAAACTTTTAAACAGACCCGGCCGGCCGGCTTTTTTTTTTAAATTTCATATATAAAAATTTATAAAATTTTTTTAAAAAATTTTTAAAATACCCACCCGGTTATTAAAACATACAAAAATTTTTTTTTACAAATTTTCAAATTTTGACCCGGCCGGGTTATGAAAACCAATTAATTAAGTTTGCATGGTCTTATTTCTAAATTTCATTTAAACTAATTAATTTTACGCTTGACTATCTCTCAATATAAAAAAAAAAGAATATTATTACTAAAAAGATTTGTTTATCACAACTTTTTTGAAGGCAATTATTTAATCATATTTTATTAGGTGAGGTAATTGTGGCATACTTAAAAATGTTAAGATCTTCATACTATATAAGTTACCTGGTTGATAATTTTTATATGAATAAATCAAGATAGAATCTGATATTATAAAATTACATAATCTATTATGCATTACTAATGGTAGCATCAAATTTTTTTTTTTATATAAACGTTCCTCTTTTCTTTGCTCTAACTCAACTATTTTTTGTGCTTTTTTAGCTTCCTGATCAGCCTTTTTTTTGGCTGCTTCTTTCTTTTTTTGCTTTGCACTTTCTGCCTTCTTTTTTGCTAACTCATTTGCTTCTTTCAATTGTTGTAGACTTTTTCATTAGTGAGAAGCCGAACGAATGAGAATTTTTTTCTTTTTTTTGGCTGCACAAACTCTGATTCGACTTGTGTTGAGACTCTTGAATTAGGATATTTAAAAGATAGTTTTAATGAGCAAGTGCTAGGATTTTTAAACATCTCAAATTCTTCTTGTGTTAATTGGTAAGTTCATTTTATGGCCACATTTTCTTTTTTTAAAGAATCAATTTCTGCTAAGAATTCATTTACTCTAGTAATATTAACCCAAGCAAAATTATTTGGATGGATTAAATAACTTGGATGAAATGAATTATTCAAATTATCAAAATGATTTGGTTGAATGGATAATGTAGTATTTGGTGAAGATAGCTCTTGTTCAACTTGTGCAAACAAAAATAAATTATCGATTTGATCAATCTGCATAAATGAAGATAAATTATCAATTCGTTCAGTTGATAGAGAAGGACCAAGATGATCTGGGCTTATAGCATTAGAGTTAAAAGGCCAAATCTCTGTAGCTCTATAAGCATTGAAAATCGCTTTAGAAGTATAAGTTTTGATAAATGCTGGGCTAAGTATTTTGCAAATATATATTTAGTTACAACTTTACTAGTTTCACTGTGAAGTTTATCACAACCATTACTGTATTCAGATTTAAGTTTAGCGAATGGAAGCTCAGATAGCTGAAGAACATAAGTAGTATGAGGTGGATGCGTATATAATAGAATTCTGTTTTCATGACAAAAGTTAATACTCAAATAATTTACATGGTTTTGTATCCATCTAGTATTAAAAGAACAGGCTGACGAGGTGGAATAGATTTAATGAAATGTTTAATGTATATTTGAAAAAGATTTTTGTGCATATATTCTGAGTCAGTAAATCCCATAATATTGCCAACTGAAGCACCATCTAACAAATCTAGAATTGCATAAACACCTTTATAAATAAATAATGAAAGAATATAACCACTGGCAGCTGAAATTTTGGGGCAATGGATATGTATTTATAGGAATTGCTATGTCTTACTTTATAAACTTGATGAAAACCTTTGGCAGTAAGAACTTTTTGAACTTTAGGAATTACAACAAACCCAGTTTCGTTCATATTCCAAATATAGTCAGCAGTAAATGAATTTTTTTGGATTATTTTTTGAAGCTTATCAAAGTAATCTTTTATGATAATTGGATTTGCCTTTTGTATACATGTCTCTTAGAGGGCCTGAGGCATGTGAAAAGATAAATCTGGATAGTCTTTCAAAAAATGAGTCCACCAGGCCTTGCCGGATCTACTGGCTTTAAAAGGATGTTTTCGATTATCACTATTCATGATATTTATTACACAATAGTTTACTCCAGACTTGGTAAGTCCAAATCCTAGTTTTTATATATTTTTATAATATCCAACTAACTGTTGTTCTTCATAATCACTTAATACTTTTGGAGGATCAGGGTGGTTAGGCAAGCTATTATTCTTATTCGCACATCGTAAAGTTGTTTCAGCAACTTCAAATTTTAATGCAGTTGCTTGTACGCTAGGTTGATCAGGGTTTTTAAGAGCTTCAAGAGCTAATTCAATAGGTTTGGGCTTAGATGCAATTTTGGAGCTCATTTTATGTTTTTGTTTTTTTAAAAAAAATTATTTTTTTTAACTAGCAATTTATAATTTTATGCTATTTTTATACAATCATAATTGTGATCATGATTGATTATTTTAGAGAATATTGTTTTATTATTTAATTGCAACTATGATTGTTTTTTATATTGCATTTTTGTATGCAATTATGATTGTGATTAAATCAATAAATAATATTCCTTAAAAGAATTAATTATAATCATGATTGTGATTGTTGTGTCTTTTGTATACAATCATGATCGTGTCTTTTGTGTGCAATCATGATCATGATTGTTTTGTGTCCTTTGTATATAATCATGATCATGTTTGTTTTATAGCTTTTGTTCTTTTAGACAATTGTGATAATGATTACAATAGTTTTTTTGACAATTAAGTTATCACCAAATAAGATTAGACTAAATTATTAAACTAAAGCTGAATCTAACTAAATCTATATAGTATACAAATAACAATAAACAAATTATTTTTACTAAATTTGTAAATCAAATGATGAGTAAAAATGTTTCTCAAATAACATATAAATAATAAATTTTGTTTATTGCTTGTGAAAAAAATTTTAAAAAAAGTTTTGTATTAAAAATAGAATACCCTTCTGATCTACAATATGAAGAATATAATGATACAGTCTTAATTCTTTGTAATAATTTAATTAACAGTATCCATGACCCTAGTGAATTTAAAGATCAGATAAAATTTGCTCTTCCTATTCTCTATGACCGGCTAGTTAATATTGTAAAATACTTCTTAAAATTAATCATTATGAATGAAACAATTAGGCCAATCGACAATTATTAATCATATACTCATAAATTCAATTGAATTAAATTTCTTGTCATTTTTTTTGAAAAACTTATATATGATTATGAACTTTTCGCTAAGATGTATTATATTTTCAGGCTATACAAAAAATTTGAAAAAGCTGTAGATATTGTTTTTGATAGAGAATATAGATATAAATACACTCATAAAGGGTTGGAGATGTGTAAATTTGCCGATTTGTTTTTTAAAAGGGACGAATATAATTCAAGTTTTCTGAAATTTTATTGTGATTGTCACTCTTTATATAATGAAGAGGAATTAGATTTATACTGTGATAATTTTCACTTACTTGTAAATATTTCATCAAGAAATTAATTATATATTTTAATTAATAAATTACTTAATTAGGCCAGATTATCAAAGTGTATATGGAAGTGCTGAATAAATATTTGTTAATTTTGGGTAGTTTTTTGTTTTTTTTTTTTATAAATGCTTATATCTTGTGGTCAAAAATCCCAATTAAAATAATTTTAACACCATTCGATTCATCTTGATAAGGTAAATTTAATGGTGTTAAAATTATTTATTTTGGGTTATTGTATTACGAGATATTTTAAAAAAACTTCAGTGTGCTACATTACCTCCTGCACTATAATACTCTCCACTCCCTTATAAAGTTCAAATCATATAATTTCTTTATTTTTTGTAAAGAAGTTTAATTGGATTTTAATAAAGATAGAGGCATGGCCTCACCTTTGAGAATTAAAAAAAAAATTTTGGTTGAATATTTTGTGTGTTTAGTTTGTAAAAAAACTTATAAAAAAGGCTAAAATATTGACAAAAAATATTAAAAGCCTTCAGATATAAAATAAACTTTTATAATAAACATATTATACAAGTAGTGTTGACATTAAAAAAGTTAGATAGATATAGTTAATTGACTTAAAGATATAATTCAAGATTCTATTTAAAAAAATCTTAATTTTATTAATATCTGTTTCAGAAGTTTTTAATATATATATATATATATTTTTTTTTAATATTAAGGTAATTACTTTGGAGTCTGGCATGTTTTATTGAACTTTAGATTAAATACCAGAGTAACCATATGGAGACCGTTCAACTAAAAGGGGGTTTATGGCTTTTTTTCCATTTTGAGAAAATCACATTTCAAATTTGGTGTAACAATAATAATGACAATCTATTATTAGTATAACCTGTTAGATCGACATAAATTAGCCAATCACATGAATACTTCTCTATGATTCTGCAGCCAGGATCAAAAACTAGATTTATAAATTCTAATTTTAGATCCCATATAATTGTATATGAACATTTAGAAAAGTGAGCATCGGCAAAAATTTTATTATATAAATTGATATTTTAAATATCAAATTATATAGAAAAATACCTGCTTTATATAATAGTTTAGCTAACTCATTTTTGCAAAAAATGCTATAAGCCCCTTTTAGTTGACCAGTCCCTATATAGATTACCTCTAATTTTGTTATATTAACAAGAATATATTCTAGCTATATCTGCGCTTTTTGAGCATCTAATTAAGTAGTTCTCTATTACTAAATACTACACTAGATGCCGTACCTATAACCTACTATTACTTGAGTTACCCAATTAAATCCTCTGATTAATTTAGTGCCATTAGATATTTTCTCTAAAGAGGAACTACTACTAAAGCTCTTTAGAACTACTTTATCTTTATAGTAAACCTATTAGAGCAGTCTATGTCTCATACATATATTACCTAGATTTTTAGTAACTTATACCTAGACCATGGTTAAGTACTTATGCCTTTTTATCTCTGCTATTGTTACCTACTCTGTGCCTTTACAAAGTTTACCCAAACCTCAGTACCCACTTTACAGACTATCAACAGTACTTCAATGCCAACTAACAATGCCTTAAACTTCTAATTCAGATAGTCTAGGAAGGACCAATAAGCATTCTCTAGTATTCTGAATGAATTCTTTTTTCTTTAGCTGATCTGGCAGCCTGGTTGGTATAGTATTTGCCAAACACTTGTTTCCTGTTCAGTTTACTGCTAGTGTTCAGTTTCTGAGATTATAATCTTTTATATAGTATCATTAAAGATCTGTGCTACCTCTCTACTTAAGACTTCCCAAGTGGGCTTCTATATCTCTTAGATTTATTTAGCTGCTTTACTTAGGTTTCATATAACTTATACATTATACTATATTTCACAACCTCTCAATATGAGTTGATGAGACCAAAGTTACAAGTGCTTATTTAATCAATATGTTATAGTTTTATTGTAATATATTTTCACAAATTCAAATTTTGTTACCAGTAGGATTTGAACTTTTGTTCTGCCACTTGGGGGTGCAACAACTTACCAACTACACTAAGTCGTCATACTCATATAATATATCTATATTTTAAACCATGCTTGAGGACTTAACTTATAAAAGAAGGGTTTGGGCCCTATAGCTTAGCGGTTAAGCTGCCAAACCCCCACAGACTAGGTCGATAGTTCAAGTTGGGCTAGAGGCAAAATCTTAGGATTTTAGCTTCTGTAACCCAATAGGGGGCCATAATCGAATGCGAAACCCTGTAGTTAAGTCCAAGTGCAAGTAGGAAACCAGAAAAAGAAATTCCCGGAAGGAGGTCTAATCGTGGAGCGGTGGCACTACGTATGATTAGTCATAAAAGGTTCTGTTACACGAAGGTTGCACACGTTAGTTCTCGATTAGGGGTACCGGGGCAGCATCAACATCTCTAGCGGTTGGGATACTTGATTAGGAGAGTAACACAACGGTAACAAAACTGGAGTAGTGAGAAAAGTGGTGAACACGAGGATGACTTGTGGTAAAGGATTGGTCCACCCGGAGTTCAGAAGCACCTCTGGCCCTAAGCCACTTGGCCTATTAAAGAAGAAACCTGTGAGGACAGAACAAGAAGGCTGAAACTCAGGGTACGTGGTAATAACTCAAAATGGCTGGATTCACCAGGCTGGTAATACAATTATACAAATCAGGCTTGTATATCAGAAA